CTGGTTTTATATAAGATATGTTGAAATGCAGTTTAAACACTGTCCAATACAAAAAGGATATAATCCAATATTTCACTTATTTAAATAATTACTCACAAAAGACTTCAATTAACTATAAAGTAATAATTGAATTATATTACAGGTATAATAGATGACTACTTTATGTATGTCTTTCCAACTTTCCCTCTTCCTCAAATATTTTTAAGTGTCAGTGCTAATGTACATGATCATTTGTTTAACAATCTCTACATCCCCTTCGAATTCGGAGGAAATCGATCTTTTGGTTTTTGAGATATAAGTGTATCAAGGAAACTATGTTGGAGCATATGTAATTGAATAAAATAGATACAGCATCATTTTCCTCTGATTCAAAACTTTCCATCAACCTTAAGCCAAATCGAACGAGCCGTTTTTGAAATATACGCGTACAACGTAATACGTTTACACGTACGTAAGCAAAATTGTTTGATGGATTTTGATAAAATTTGTATGAAAACATCTGTGCAGGGTTGCGGTTGGTAAGAGGATCCTCGTATTTGTACGAGATTATGACGTATTGTACGAGTTACGAGGATCGACCAACCTAGTACCTCGTACACAATTTTTGCTTATGTATACAATGTTGTATTTTTATGAATACAATTTAGATTTGTTTTATAATTATTTTGACTATATTATTATTTATATAGTATACAATGTCGAAAACGTAATACTTAACTTTTATTGTTTTATAGACAAATAAATTACAACATATTTACTTTCATTTGGAGTATAACTGTTATTTTCTTCATAAAACGGTGGTTGCGTATACATATCTTTTTTTTTTAATTTTCTAGATAAATAAAAACATTTTTAAAAAATTGTTACTGTCTTTTTTAAAATTTATTTCAATATTTGTTAATTTTAATAATATTTTATCTAATTTTGATCTTCCATTTTTGATAAAGATAGAAATATTGAATGATTTAAATAGTTTATTTTGCTATTTTAATTTTAATAGAAATTTTTCCTACAGTTTCTAAAAATATATGCACTTTTATATATACATATGTTTTATTAAATCTATTTTGTACCTTAAATTAAACTCATTTTACACTTGAGCCATTAACTTATAAAAAAAAAATAATGTAAAAGGGTTTTAAAATATATGAATTGAACAAATAAGCAAAGAACCTAATTTATCTAAGGAAAAGCAATAACATGAGCCTACAATAGAACCAATTTTAAATGAGCAAGCGTTGGAGGATTTATCACAGAGCACACAGAACACTGCATCTGTGCACCAACTGACACTATTCATGAACTTGTACCAACAGTAGTAGATGATATACCCATCACATTGATTTGACGATAGACAGATATAGAACACAATTTGTTTCTTGATATCTAAAACTTTAAATGCTAGTGGAAATTATCTATTTAGAGCACACATTTCTTGAACCTCCCTCAAGAACATAAAGCTTTCCTGTATTCTTTAATCAGGAGAAAAAAAAAGTCAGTTTACGCTGCAATAGGAAGTAATGATAATCAGTTTTGAATATTTACTTTTAAAGCAAATTGCTACTACATTACAATGTTGAAGTACACATATCAAACATATGAACATTATAAACTGATTATTTATTACGTTCTTGATTTTATATGTTTAACATTTTTATTACGTCTGTATCTTTCAAATCGTCTAAATCTACTTATTTAATCCTCTTCCAGTTCCACTTCTCCCTACAAACCTTATCTTATACTGAAACAGCAGTTTTCTAGGTAAGGGATCAATTATAAAATATGATATGTACCCAGGCAATACTCAGTTTTACCACACATGATTAGGCCTGTGTGCTGCAATTACTCAGCTTCTGCTGGCTTAAAATACCAGTAATTTATCTCAAGAAAAGTGCTGGAACCTCCTGAAGTTCTGATTTATTTTCATATGGAGGAGGAGGTATCAGGACTTTCTGGGCTATGTGCTCCATCAAAGTATAAAAAGTATGGGGTGGATCTATAGTGTTATTATTTTATTATTATGTTTTTGTTTAATTTATTATTATAACATTTTGTTTTGGGCAGAGGAGAGAAAATCCCTTTTTTTAAATTTCTTATGCTTTTTTTATGATTGCCTGCCTGCTTGAATAAAAATATGTAGAGTTAACACATCTTTACTTTTTTTAACATTTTAAGTGGTCAATTAAAAAAAAGAGCTTAAAATTGTTAATATCATTACTATAAACAATAACGTAAATTTTAAAAGTTACCTCCAATTAATTTTTTCAGGATAAAAAACATTTTAACTTTGTATGTATTTTTTATGATTGTTTGTTTATTCAATATTGTCACTAATAAATAGCGCTTCCTAAAATAATTGTTTTTCTATTGCTTAAAATTTGTACCTCTTCAAAATCAAAGTTATTCTTTAAATATTGAACAAGTTAAGCTAGAGAAGTATATGCAATATGTCTGCTCTTAATCAAGTTTTTGTAATCTATGAAACTATTTTTGAGTTAATAAATCTGTTTATAGAAATGTGCTCTTTATGTACATTGTAAATATTTGGACAGTGGATCAAATTTATTTTCGATATTTTATTTTTGATCTATACATTTGTTAAACTTTTCTGATAAATATTTTGTAAATGTGTAAGGATAATATTTTGATTTATATTTTTATTGTAATCAATTTCTTTATTTCATATAGAATGTTTATAACATTTTATTTGTATTTAAATTAACAAAAAAAAATGTCTTAATTAGTTATGTATGGTACCAACCAATTAAAAAAAAATATTAAAATTCCTTCTTGACTTTAATAATGTATTTTTATTCAGTGAGTCTGATGGCTCTGCTGACAAAAGTTAAAAGAGAACAAGATATTTTAATATAAAGACAAGAATCATATATAATATGTAAAAACTGACATAATATGATAATGTAGTCTGTTGAATTATTTAAGAATTAAGTATGTGGCTGTAGAAGTTTAGCTAATTTAAAAAAAATATCTTTAGAATGTATCATATTTTCATATAAAAAATCATATTAGTAAGGTAATTATAACTTCAATAAATTAATTTTATATCAGTAACATTATTTTAATAATATAATATTGGTGTCAATTATTACAATCTGTATAATATATTCATATTATTGGCTTATATTAATAATAACAGAAGACAGTATTGTATGTAATAATTTAATGTATATTTGTAGAAAAAAAGGTGACTTGAAAATGGACAATGATGGATTATTATTACAAAAATAATAATAAATAAATAAAAAATTTTAAATATGAATTTGAAATAATATTCTTCAGTAAACTGAACTACCAAAAAATTCAATAAACTGTTTGAATAATAAAGGCACTCATAAAACGGGCAAAATAGAGATTTTTTTATTGCAAAAACTTTCAATATCATAGGTTTTTTTTAAATGTAATGATTTTTGAAAAAAATGATTCATCTGTATGTGTTCTATTAGTATAAGTAAGGATGATATTAGCTATTCATTATTTATGGAAGCACTACATATTAATTGCAAACAAATATATAAAATAAACTAAAACAGACCTGAGAAATGTGTTTAATTTTTATCATAGAATTAGAAATAGTTTAGACCAAAAATAAGAAGAAAGTTCTTAATGCCTTAAAATTTATCTATTTTAATGCAATCAATTTAATTATGTTATAATTAATTTTGTATGAAATAAACAATGATTCAGTACAATGTTTTCAGAAAAATTAAATTTACAACATTGAGACATTATGCCCAATCGATGAGAGTAATTTTAAAGCAAAAAAATAACTTTAAAAATTTTTGTTGTTGTAACAGTTTATTAAATGTTTAATATTATGTAATGTTTGAAATTATATATTTCAAACATTACTTATTATTGTTTTCACTTTTAGAATGATAAAGATGTTAAGCAAATAAAACTTTGAGCTCAACAAGCAGCGATAGTGTGTTTTAGCTTAAGAAAATTTATTTGTGACAGTGTATGATTTTTCAGTGTCCAGTGTATAATTTTCCTTATCAAAGTGTCCAGTGTATGATTTTACTTATTTTAAAAAATAATACTAATATTAAGTTAATTTTTATCTCATAGGTACAGTATTTGAAACATTTCCTCCTAAAAATTATTAATTTTCAAAGGTATTATTTCATTACCAACAAAAAAAATATGTATATATCCACAAATACACTCACAAATGCATATGTGTGTATATATATCCACAGACACATATGTGTGTATACATATATCCACAAACACATATGTGTGTATGCATATATATGTATAAACACATGTATGTATATACATAAACAAAAAATTAATTAACAAATTTATTGGTACAAAATGATTGTTTTATTATACTATATATTTTTCAAGAAGACGATTAAATTTTGTAAATATTCACAGAAATAATTTGCTGTAAACGATAATAAAAGTAAAATATAGACAATAAATAAAATAGTTTGTAATTAAAACTGTAGGTTTTGAATAGTACAATTATCATTATTATTAAGATCTATGATATGAAAAATGTCATGAATGTTCTAAGAATAATACCAGAGTGATGAGCTGGACTGGTATGTGTTGTATATGGTTTAGAAAATTGGTATAGAAAAGTCAAAGAATAATTTTCACAATAATTTTTGTGTTCACATTACAATCTACATTTAATTGTATACAAAAATCATAAAAATCCAGTAATCCGTACATCCATAAAATAGTCAGCTATAATATGACAAGACATCAATTTTCTTAAATTCGCACTTTCCAGCTACTCTTTGTGTAGTTCAAAATGCCCTATAACTGGCATTATTAAACAATTCCATACTACTTAGCACCTACAAATTTATGCAACGGTTCACTCAGAAAATGAAACCTTGTTTGAACATAATACTTCACAATTTAACAGGTTCATGTTTACAAGGTTCAAAAAAGTGTAACAGTTTTCATAAAGCTCTCAAGATGGTATTGTTGCATTAACCTGTGTAGATAATTTATAGCTAAAGTCATAACTTCAACCAATCATGATTTAAACAAACAGCTGCAGTGGCTCTTAGCTCTGGGTCAAAAGCTAACATTGGAGATAAGAAAGCAGAAAATGCTAAGGCGTCTTGTCTTGTCCAATGGTATTTTTCAGTTAATACTTCATATAAGCACCATGGCTTAAGATTATGAATATTTCTTAATTCACCTGAAAGTAAATAATCAATGGCAATTATAATATAAAATCAATGGCAATTATAATATAATATGCACTATATTATCATTAAAGATGTATTTTAAAATATTAATTTTAACAAAGAATGATAAAAATGTAACAGTACTAAAAGGATTATATATTTTTGTCCATTTATTGATAATTGATAACATAATTATAAATAACTTAGTCTGTAATAAGTATTTAAAATATTATCATCAATCAAGAATATAAGCCAACACAATTAATATATTCATAAAATAACTTCATGTATTGTTAGAGAAAAAATAATAAATTAACAGTACAACAAAATTAAGAAACAATATATTAAAAACAGTTATTCTTTAAACAATTAACTAATTGTTATTTATTCTCCCTATCCCTGCTTAATAATTTTAAACAAACGTGAGAATTTAAAAATGATGCTTACCTGATGGACGAAAAAAGAACTCTGACCACTTTCCACTATTAATAATATATCTTGGTACTGGGCCGAGTAATTCTATTATATGAGCTAAATGATCTTCATCTCTTGTGTAATCTTCTCCTGCTTGTGGTTCAAATAAATAGTCTCCAGTTGCAAGCTCAAAAGCCTTTAACACCATAAGTAATTGGTTGAAAAATCAGTTATTTAAGAGAAACTCTTATTGGGAATAAGTTTTTTTTTTTTTTCATTCTTATTATAATATTTAAAACATAAGGAACTTTGGAACACATATGATATGAGATATTTTATTTACATAAATTTTTAATAAATTAAAAAATTCAAAATCATGAAGAAATCTCATATGATTGGTTTTATGAAACTTGCAATTATATTTTTTACACTTTATTTTATGCCTAGATAACAATTTGTTTATTTTCTGTTTCTAGTTTGCATTTCACATTTTAAAAGAATAATTTTTTTTGTATCCAATTGTACATCCCAAATTTCATATTAAAATTTCGTTTCATATGAAAAAGTTATTTTAATTTTATCTTTTATGCTGGGATATATATTTTTAAGCTTATGAAATTCTTAAAATTAGTATCTATTTATTTTGTTTTCATTAATATTTTTATTTTTCATCATTTATAATTTTGAAGCTATGTATTTCTTCTTTACAGTCTTTTTTCTGAATGTTTTGTTGTATGCTTTTTCATTTTTTTTACTTTGCATTATTTATCTTTTCTTTTTCTTCATTATCCTTAATATTTTATCCATATACCTTGTGATTAAAACCTTTTCTTCCGCTTTGGGTGTTTACACATTAATTATTTTATTGAGCAATCATCAAGGCAGGGCAATCCAAAACCCTATTACCAATCCACTTAACTGCTTATAAATAACAAATGTCATTGGAATTTTGTTATTATATTATAATAATGTAATATTATGTTATTATATTATATAAAATAATATTAATATATTATTTTATTTATATAAGTTTTCTTCTATAATATTAATTAGTTTATTTACTAGTATATTTGTAGGTGGTATATATGACATAAAAATTCCATGTGTGTGTATAATAACAGAAATATCATAACATCCATACCATACAAGCTAAACTCCAAATATCAGCAGGAACTCCATATTCTGCTCCAATTATCACCTCCAGACTTCTATATTGTCTTGTCTGAATAGAATCACTGAAGTGCTGATCCTGAAATTTTATTCAATTCTTTAAAACAATAAGTAATATTGAGTTCACAGAAACATTAAAATGAAAATGAAAATTTAAAAAAAAAATTTCTCAACTACTAATTTTATATTTTGTTTCCTATGTCTTTAAATACTATATTTGAATTTCTATTTTGAAAGACTATTATGGATTAAACCTGTTAAGCAGATGATTTTCCTGTCAACTTTTCTATATATGCCTCAATAATTAACTGTTCAGGTCAGAAAGAATTGGAATTGTTTTGATTCCTATATAATACATGATGTTAAGATACCGATTTCCCTAAATGTTGATACATTAATACGTCGAGAAAAAATATTCAAGGGACAGTTAGATCATAATGTAAATAAAGCAATGGGGGATCGAATTTCGACCAATTTGTTAATATATCTTTTTAGATACTACAATAGCATTGACGTCAATGTGTAACCACATTACATAGTGATCAAAGAAAGAAGCACCATTGAATACACCAAGAGTATGATAAATACTGCAACAGGGAACAAGCATACTGAGAAGGGGGAGAGATACTTATCTTGTTTTGTTTTTTCTTTACAACTTCATAATACGAAGTGATAAAAAAAACTGACATTTGAATATTTATCACGAAGCTTACATCTTCATTTACGTTATCTTGATTAATAAACTGTTATTAGTGCCTCCTTCTTTCGCTACCACCCTCCAATTTTTTTTCAAGACTTCCATCATGGTCCTGAAGACAGGGTCTAAAAAGGGTTCTCATAGCAGGTGAAGAGTATTCATAGGAGGTAAACTACAAAAGTGTATGTTATATTAAGTAAAATGAATCTTGTCTGGCATGCTAGAGCCGCTGCTTTCAAACATGGTGGTTGCTCTGGAATGACCGACTAAGTTCGTTTGAATTAGATAAAATACACTTTCGTAATTTATTTCCAAACCTCCTCCAGCTATGAGTACCCTTTTTAGGCCTTGGCTCTTGGGCTTTTAAGATTGCCTCAAAATATTTTAAAATTGTGCCAGCATTAAGTTCTCTGTTTACTCTCGCTGCTACTCAGTTGATGGTTACGAATCTATGTACGGTAAGTCTTCTATTTTTATTGATTCGACTGGACAACATCCAGCATGGAGAATCCCGGAGTTACAAGTCGCGTTTTGACATTATGTTTTATTGTTCTATTGTATCTTCATTAAACAGGTTCAATTTGGTAGTTGTTGATATCATTTGAATTAGATATTAAGCTAGTAAGATAAATCAAAATAATGAAAATATTAAATTGAAGCCATCGATAAGTATATCAAAATATAAACTGGATTTGATAATAAACTAATTTACTGAATAGACAATTTCTTTAGCACTTTCAGATCATAGAAAAATAATGGCTAGAAATAATCTAGTTAATATGATAAATATACTCAATAGGATATTTACTTAAAAAATTTAAGTGTAATTTCGAAAACGATTTCTTACCACCCAACAGCTATTTCCAAGATCTGCTATTTTTACTTGTAGTTTACTGTCTGCGTTTTTTAAAGGGCTTTCAAATTGTTTTAAAAGCTGAAGAGACTCTTCTGAAATGAGATAATTATAAAATTATCACCTTTTTTTGTGATATTTCAACATTAAAACAAGAAACATTAAAGTTCTGATTTAATACATACAGAAAAAAAAATTAAAAAGCAAAAAAAAAATGTATTTATTGAAAAATTTAAATTTCTGTATGTATGCTAATATATATTTATGATTTGAATTTTTTTTTAATCAATAATGACAAAATAATACTTAAATCTTTTTTGTTAAAAGCTGATTTGTTGAAATGATTTATGGAGAGATGATTTGAAAATTGTGTTTAAAATGAAACAATTATGTTTGGTAGTTTTCCCAAGCAGCCCTTGCATTGGATCACTTTATTTAAATGTGTGAGTGGTAATTATTTTACCTTTGCAGGGTGCTCCCCGTTAAATTGATAATCGTTAGGGGTTTTATAGTATATGTAAAGAGATATATATACACTTTCGGATGGATCGTACGACCAATCGATGCGTTGGTTCTTCTTATAGCAATGAAGTAATATAGTATTATATTGCATATTTTTTTATTTCACGACTTTTACAATATTGGTCATACGTCTTCATCAAATATAAGTGTTTGCCTTCTTCTTCTGCCCTTCCGCTCTTCCTCACGCATTCCCTTGTTCATCAATCATTCCTTTACGCCCTCATACCAGTTTCTCTTTGGACGACCTTTCTTCCATCTTATTTCCGGCTTCCAATTCCAAATTCGCGTAGTCCATCGTCCCTCTTCCATCCTCAGCATATGGCCAAACCACTTCAACCTCATGGAGGATGTGCTCCATTTGTTCTACTTGTTTCCTTATTTCACAGTTTGGAACTTTTTGAAGGCGAGAGACATCACATGGTCACCTCCAATAGTCCATTTCTAGGATTAGTAATATTTTTTATTGACTCTCTTTAATCGCCCAAGATTCGGCTGAATAGAGAGTGATACTTTCCAGGAACGATTTGTAAATAATTCGTTTTTGTTTTTAAGGACACTGCCTTTCTCCACTGTACCGAATTTAAGGTTCTGGGGATTATCTTTCCGTTGCTTATGCTCTTTTCAATATCCACATCTGATGTTCCTGTCGTATTCAAAAAGTTCCCTAGATACTTAAATTGAGCTTCAGGTATCAACATCCGGTTGTCCAATTGTAGATATTCACCTTGGCTATTAAAGGTCATTTATACAGTTTTTTCTTTGATGACTTCCAGCCCCAAGGTTGAGTATTCCGGGAGAATTTTTGCCATCAAATATTCCACATCTTCTGCTTCTGAAGCAATTAGTAACTAATTGTCAGCAAACGGGAGATTGAATAGACAATCATTCCTAATACGTATGCCCATACCTCTACATTTTTGCTTCCATTCTCTTAGAGCCATTTCTACATAAATGTTAAATAGAAGCGGAGACAGTGAACATCCCTGTTTTAAAACTTTCGTTATGAGAAAGCTGTTGCTAACATAGGCTCCGATTTTAACACATGATTTGGCATCGCCATATAAGCTTTTTATGGCTGATTCTAGGTAGGGACTTATATTGAAGTCTTCCAACGTTTTCCACAGCTTCTTGATAAAATTTTCATTTCTCAAATTTATCGACTACAGCCAAATAGTTCCTTCGAATAAGAAATTATAAAGATGAGCCTCCCATAAAATAAACTCAAGAAAACAACTCTAATTTATAAGAACAATAATTGTAGGTGAATTTCTTTAACAGCGTGTGTTTTTTCTTTAGAAATCGTATCTAAATGTAGAATATTTCAATTGGTTTATGAGTAAATATAGTCTATACCATACTCAAGTTCCTACTGCACGTGTATTTTTTATTCATAAGTACATTTATTATGAAGCAAACGTGGTTCGGGAACAGATCACACAATGCGGTTTGTAGCTTGCACTATTGACAAGCTATTACTTGCCAAACGTGAGCACCTTGAAGGATCCTACACACAGAGTGCGATATATCTACGATACGATATTCCTATACAGGCGGCGATATGGCTATACAGTTGTATTAGTATATATTGCATTATAGCAGTCACCCAGAGCGTGATAATCCGCATAGATACCGACAAAGGGATATCGTATCTCCGGGGCATATCACGTTCTGTTTAGGCTACCTGTAGAACCCTTTACGTTACCTACTGGAAGTCCCTCATCAGACATTTACTTGACTTTAAAAATTTACATAATTAAAAAGTGTGTTAAATTATGTTGTATTTTGTGTTTTACACTCATAGATACAATTTAATAGTAATAGTAACTTCATATCTCATGTATATTTGGTTCTCTTATTGTACTCTCTCTAACTATTGGTCACATCAATAATCTCTAATAATTCGACAATAATATTTATTATTTCACTTAATAGATCTAAATACTATTCTTTAACCAATGCTTTTTATGAATTTTAATGATATAAATTGGAAACCAACCTTTCGTTAAAGAGTTCTGCACAGCAGGTTTCATATCAAGCCTTGACTTGCTTCTTGTCAGTCTATACGAATTATTTTCCATATAGATATTAAATAACAGATCTTCTCTATCGTGAATATTTTGGATGTTATCGACTTCAGAATTAAACAGTTTTTCGTGACCTATAATTATCATATTTAGTTGTTAGCACAAAGGTGTAAATGTGTTTTATTTATTTTAATTTCATTCAGCTTCAATCTATTATTTTATTTATCTTTATTTATATTTTATCTTGTATATATATGTATACTCTCGCCGATACTGTTCAACTTCGTCCTAGAGAAAGTAATAGAACATCACTTGAAGATGGTGGGCTGAACGTCGGAATGAAACATAAAACCCTAGCATATGCGGATGATATGGCTGTCCTCGGAAGCAATCAAGAGGATGTTGAGAGACTCGCTCGGGGGTACTTCAAGGGTACTGAAATCCAGAAATCTCAAACTAAGGGTGTTCAACGCCGTGATAAAGCCAGTTGGTCTGTATGGATTTACACAACAAAGAATGCCAGAGTAGTAGGCAAGAGATCTCGTGGGATGTCAAAAAACAAATGGATCGATAGGATAAACAAAGATACGGCTGAGCTTCATGGAGCAAAGTGGAAAGCAGTAGCCCAAGATAGGCAGAGGTGGAGAAGGCTGGTTCAGGCGGCCAAAGATCTACAAGGTTTGTACAGCCAACGGAAAAAAAAGAAATATATATATTAATTTTCCTTATCTTATTTACTTTAAATTAGTTATTTATATCTATTTACTTTTTTTATGTAGATATTGTAGAGATAGGTGTAGCCCTAATACTAATGTCCTTCAATGTGGCAAATTGTATTAATTCTCAATAACCTCTTTAGTTCTTAGCAGTGTTATCAAGAAATTATTGGAAGTTAGTCATTAAACTAATGTATTGTAATTAATTTAACATTTCATGTTATTTTTATTTATTTTTTTTATCTTATTTCGTTCATACTTCAACTTATCATATTGCTAATATTTATAATTTCTGTTACAGAATGTTTAACGGAGCGCGCCGAATGTCTAAGGCGGGCACTGGCTAGGTATAGATAGAGTCATGTTTTAATAATCGTCAGAAATAGTTAAATCACCTCATATATGTATTGTTAGGCATGGGGCGTAAATCCTTTAATAAAGGAATTTTTGAAAGGGTTATAGTGTAAAAGAAAAAAGAAAACTTATGTATACAATCTCTCAGCATTAATTGAATACTTTAAAATCAATAAAATTAAAGTAACCACTAAACAGATCGTTTAAATCTATAGTTACTGGGACAAAGTAAAACTTGAATAAAAGAAATAAATAATCTGTTACCTAAGTATAAGGGTAAGCGGCTTTTCAAACCTTGCAATTTAGTAGCCTCAGAAGCCATTTTGATCAATTTTTCTTCCGACACACACATCAGCACATTTTCTGGTTTAATGTCGGTGTGTATGATTTTACATTTCTCATGTAAGTAACACAACCCTTCCAGTACCTGAAAAAATTATTTAACTTAGTTTAAAATAAATGATGACCTTAAAATCTAAAAAAAACGATTTGCACCGTCAATATACCTGCTTAATTAAAATTTTAACATCTGGTAAAGGCACTCCTCTGTATTTGCTATCGATAATGAGCTTTAATAAATTATCTCCCATTACTTCAAAAACCATACAAATATGGTCACCATTTGGACCATTAATTTTAAAATGGTCCAACAATTCCACTATTCTTTGCCTTTTTGGGTCATGCTTATCCGTCACCTGGACCTGAAAAATGCGGTTTCGGGTTAAGTTTCGAAGTATTTTGTTAAATGAGTTGTATCTGATGGCCTAGAAAATTTGTCTCAAAACTATTAAAACTGTTACTGGCTCGAAAAACACATTTTTTTTTTCTATTAGACAGTTCCATTATTTTTGTTTATATTTTTCATTTAAGCTATACCAATGAATTTTATTACCAGTAGGCAGCGCCGGTAGAATTTACATTAATTTGTTTTTATGCGTAAAACTAGTACAAAAATTACATTTCAAAATAACTGTTCATTGATACACCGTATTATATTACACCCAAGTTAAAAATATTTCCAACGAAATTAAATGTATAAAGAGTTACATGACTAAACTTTGTAAAGAAATGGGCAGTTTAATGTAAATCTAATAGGACGGTATTAAACAAAAGGGAACCGATATATATCCCACGTGTTTTAAGTAAACTCAACTGAAAATAAATCGTCTTAGAAAATTTGGATGCTTTCAAATAAATATTTTTCTATTTTTCGTCTAAATCTAATTTTACTCTACATTTTATTAACTCCAATGCTGTATTAATTGATAAAAAATTAACCTATTTTTTTTTCTTAACCTAAGTTTTCTTTTGTGATTTTAGACTAGAAAAATTATATATTTCCACACAACAGTAAACATAAAAAAAGAATACATAAAAAAGGATTTTTAATTACTAAATACTTAAAAATACATTATACTATTCACTTACAGCATTCAGGAGTTTAATTTCATCTAAGGCTGACTCTGTATACTGTGGGGCACTTTTCACTATCTTTAAAGCAACGAATCTTTTTCCTCTGAAAATATTTAAAAAAATAAATAAATACTTTTTTTAAATATGTTTGTTTATATATGTTGTTATATATTTCGTAAGATAAGGTTAATATTATATATTCCTGATCCATCACTCCCAGTACCATATCTATGCAGGTGATTTCCAAATATATCTGTCCTTCCCGCCCTCCATTACATTATCAGCCACAGAAAAACTTCAAGAAGACTTGGATAGGATTTGTGACTGGGCGAGAGCTAACAAGTTGAAGTTGAATGCAGAAAAGACGGAGGAAATCTTAATAGGCTCCAATCACCTCCTTAAAACTGTTCCTAATATTCCAGCTCTGTTCCTACATGATAATCCCATCAAATATCCCTCCATCAAAAACCTTGGAACGATCTTTGATCAAACGCTTTCCTGTGAAGATCATGTATCCAACATTTCCCGCCTTATCATTTCCACCTTAAAACGTCTAAATTACTCCCGTCAGCTATTTCCCCTTGAAACCCGCCGGCTCCTAGTAACGCCCTTAATTTTTCTCCACTTTGACTATTGCTGTAAGGTATCTCGAAGCCAAATTAAGACGTTTGATAAATTGCTTTTTGCGATTCATCTTCGGGACCCCAAGGGACGCCTCTGTTTCCCGTTTTTATGTATAGTTGAAGTGGCTTTTTCCTCCCTACCATCGTAAGTATTTCCTGGCATCCTTCCTCTTTCAAGTCATTCAATTCCACCGTCCTCCATACATCTCCGAGCTCCTTCTATTCAAATCCTATGTTCGTTCCCGTAATACTCGTTTCCGGTCTTCTGATCTATACATAAGGGCCCACCGAACCGCTGCTTTCGACAGATCGTTCATTATCCAATCCTCATCCCTATGGAACTCCATCCCTCCCCATATCCGTCAATCCAATACCATTCCTACCTTTAAATCCCGCCGGTTCAATCACTACTTATCCATCCAGTCCCCATAAAATTATAAATAATTACTACTGTAAATATGTATATAAATTATTAGATCGTTCTTCAATAAATTTTACTTCATGTTTATTTTCATTTTTTTATTTTTTATTATTCACTGATTTAAGTTAGAAAGTAACTTATAATTTCTTTTATTATGAATATTTAATTGCTCTATATTTTAGTTTATGTATCTCTGAGGCTCCTTAGCTCACATTTTCGTCTTATTCTAAAGGGACTCATCCCAGAATAAATAAAGCATTATTATACTGAACGGAAGCTGGCGCACAGTGTATTTAGTCAATTTGCAAAGGTTTCCCCTAAAATATATGTCCATACACGTATATGCCTCACCCATCTTGGCCTTTTTACATCCATAAAGTGAATATATTGACTGGTAAATTTAATATTTTTTTTTAAATAATAAATTTCAATTAAATATTGGTGATGAAATTCCACACTAATGTCGTAGGTACATTTTCAATATTTGAAGAATGGGCTTAATCCGTAACAAATAATAATAATATTAATTTAACCGTTATTTGAATAATCGAGTTTATTAACTGTGTCAATTGATGAATCATATATTGACAATTCCCATAATCCCTCGGGTCCTTTGACAAGGCCATCTCTGATAGCTTAGAAATTGTTATCCAAAAGCACCGACAGTACACAATAAGACTCCTTACCAACACTTAAGGAACAATAACAGATTTCGGTAAAAGAACCTTTCTCACAGAACTCATATTAATAATATCAATTATTTGTAACGATTCTTTGAAACCTTCTTATAACTTCCCTCATCCCCCCACTGCTCATGCTGTTACATTCTTGGAGTCACACACTTGCCAGTAGTGTTACCCAAATATGAGACCAAGACGAGCCTTGGTCTTGCCTTGCAGTTACCTATTAGCTTATTTTTTTAGATATGAAAAACGCAACTAAGCCCGAGTGAAATATTAGAAGAGTTAAATGCAAAAGTATATTGTGTATACCGATTCTTTACATATACTAACTTAGTACTAATTGAAGGTATTAGTAACTATTTTGCCTTAATTTTTATTTAAATTTATTATTTTATCTTGGTCTTGATCTTTCAATAGTAAGGCGGTCTTGGAAAGTACAAGATCAAGACCGATGTTGGGCAACACTACTTATCAGAGGACCTAGATCCACGATCTTGATGTCATATTCTTGTAGGAGTCCTGAAGTGAACTCTTGTAGTCAAACCATGTATTTACAGTGTAATTTAGTTGTTATTATGCCATATGTAGTCAAATTACAAATAAAAGTATAAAAATATTTCTTAAGTCCTCACTGCCTGCGATTCATCAACTAATAAACAAATAAATGAAGTAATACAGCATTTGATGATTGACTTTTTAGAATATGGATACTTCTATATTTCCTAGATTTCTGTAAATTTATATATACATTATTATTTAAAATGTTTTAGTTATGTGTATCGTATTCTTCAATGTTATAATTGGGAAAAATACACAGCCTTATGTCTCCAAAATGCAGCAAAAGATAGAAAAAAAAAATAAACGTTTCACTAATTCAGACATCATCAGGACACAAACGAACAGGGAATCGAACATCACTCCACCACATCCAATCGCATACTGGAAGGAAAGTAAGGCTACAATCAAGCAGCTGATCAGGAAAACAAACAACTGATATATATTATGCAATATCTAACCAAAAATCATAAATATGATACATAAGAAAGATAAATAAATATTAAAAAAGAATTCAAAGTGAAAAGATATAACAATGAGAAAAAATAAATAAATACAAATAATTATACATTTATAAAAAAGCAAATCAAAAGGTTATCAATAAAAACAGCTGACTCCCCAGATGAAGATAAAATAAGAAATTTGGTTATGGTTAACATTTTAAACAAGTATAACATTAAAGCCACAAATCTTACTCATTTAAAATACTTATAATGTGTGAAAAGAAGCATTATTACTATTTTTTCTCACATTTTTAATCGAAAGATTTTGGGATTCCAAGTACCAAAAAATTCATGATAATTCGAATGGTGTTTCCAACAGCAAGGATGTTGTAACATCGTCTGTCATAGGGAATCGTGAAAATGGTGGTAGCAACTGTTTTTTTTTTTTTTCATATACTTATAATAAGGGCCTCTCTGAGAAAGTAAGAGGTATTTTTAGGAATTGTTGTTCATGACATTAAATTGGCTAGTAGAATTAGTAACATGATGAGCAAGTTTTATACCATTCTTAAAGATAAAATATTAAATCAGCTACAATCCATTATTTCTGAACTCTCTCAATTTCTTACCGTTATTTTATACTTTCTTTATGTATACATCATATATTTGCATTCCAAATACTTAATAATGTTAAGTTTACGCTATCTCCATATTATTATACTATGCCTTTTAACTATATATTATTACTATTACCGTCTAGTTTCTCATATTTATGTAATCTTGTATTTTCTTACCCCTGATGAATGCCAGAAACAGGCCGAAACGATGGCACGAAGAAAATAAAATACACTCCAACTAACTTCTCTTCAATATATTTATAGCACTCAACTATTAATCTATTAAAATAAACAGTTTATTTTAAATATACTTATTTTGTTTGCATAATTTACAACATTTAAAAAAATATTGTATGGAAAATTTTTCAGACTTTTCCTACATGAAAATCCGAGTTGGGGTTTTATATAACCATGCTTAAGATTTTTTTAAACGGACACGGAAAATAAAGAATTGGCAACGTGTCATGATCCACCTGCCAGTAAGGTGGATCCAGAAATAGTAATTTGTGCGAATTATAATAGCATCCTATCTGTTGGCAAGCCTATATTTTCCATACTTGATATATTATAATTATATAACATATATATATATATATATATATATATATATATATATATATATATATATATATGAACACACATTATTTGGAATAGTCCTTTTTTTTTTTACTTTCTTTTTTATTAATATTACGTGGTACAGATCCCTTTTTGTCAAATTATGAACAACCGCCCAAATCCTCGTGAAAAGCTTCATCTCATCACAACTTTTTTATTCACAGAAATTCTCGCAATTAGGGCGTTTTCAATCTGGAGATTGGCATACTTTGTCTATTTAACAAGATAATAAAAAACGCCTAATTACTTTCCACTTGTATCGTAAGATAATTTTATTACAAAATTAATAAAAAAAGATGGCCTACAAAAATATCTTACCGTTTGGCGTGACCTCCACTTTCAAAACGTCAACATAAAGAGGTTTTATAGATCAAACGGCCTAACATTTTTGTATTTTTTTTTTTTTCGATTTTGTTATCAAATTATCTTACGATACAAGTGGAAAGCAAATGGGTATTTATGAGTTTTATGTATCTTATTGAATTAATAAATTTAATGAGAAAAAGCCCATTTCTGAAAATTTTATTAGATAAAAAATTTTTGTAAGTTATGATATGATGAAGCCATTGACGAAGTTTAAGGCGGATGTTAATAATTTGTTAAAAAGGGGTCTGTACCGCGAACTATAAATATGTTGTTAAGTCTTACATTATTTAATACAAATTAGTTTGTATTCAATAATTGTTGATTATTCCTGAGGAACCTAATATTGCGTAAACCCAGGAAGTAGATATCAAGTTAAGCCAATAATAAGGCTTCTATTGGTTCACGTATATCAAGTATCTATTTCATTACTTTGACCTATTTTTGATAAAAATGTTAGAAAAAATATTATCTATTAGTTTTATGTATTACATTATTTTTTTCGTAATTTAATAAACCATTAAAGTTATTTTAACGATTGGAATTTATCAATTGCTATATTGTCCTTGTGTCAAAAGTAGTTCTGAGTTTAATTTTTTTTTTTAAATTTATGATTTAAAACTGATTATTCATGTAAATCAAAAAATAAATAAAATGAACCTTCACAGATAATACCTAATATGTATTGAGGCCTACACCTAATGATTAAACAGAATACAAAAAAATCATATAAACAATAGGCCAATTTTAAGTAGGAAATCCAAGTATTGTGTATTTTTTGGT